CACCTTTGTGGTCTTTTTATTCCGAACATTTACCCGTGCTGGCGAGGCTTCTCCGATGACTTTGACAACTTTGTAGTTGATACCTTGGTTTTCCCACCCTTGTACAAGAAAAGGGGCTGAGATAGCTTTGAGAGTCTTGGAGCGAAGGGGGACAGCGTGGGATTGTGTTTGGTGGGCGCTATTTGGGAATAGAGATGGTCGAGTTAATATAGTCTTCTAGGATATGCTTTGGAGATGGCCGCTTCTGCACTGCCAGCTCAAGTATCGCATAGGTGTCATTTCAGCGAGTTTTGTTGCATGACCCGAATTGTTTAATGTGGCACGTCAGCAGCTCCGCATCTTTCGGTAAATGCCATTGTTCGCCTATCATTGGCTCGTACGTGCTTCAACAATGCCTTGAAACTTTTGATGGCGGGTTTTGCAAGTATCATTATCGACGTTTGGCTGCTTGACACAGCCGCGGTCGCAACGTAAATGCCGTCTTACTACAACAGCGAGCCTAACGTCCACGGAATACCTTTCGGGATATCACAGGGCCTAATTGATCCCGAAGAGCGTCGGTGATGCACATGTCAATACCGAGACACATTAAAGGTCTAGCATTGACCTACAATCAATTCAGGGGACGAGATGCAAATGAAAGTGAATAAACAGGCCAAAGAACGAGAGGATGCAGGGTATCCACGTACCCGTACGCGTGACAAAGAAATTGAATGCAGAGTGAAGATTGCAACTTTGGCCGACGCTCTCTCGTCCACGACATCTTGCGTCACGGATATCTACATGTCCTTCAGTTCTCTGAGGGGTTTCTCCAGGTCTCTGAATAAATCATTCATCTTCTTCACTAGTGCATATGCCGGACTCTTATCCAGGACAACATGTACAGTTTCGAGGTTCACGAACATGGTGACCGGTAGCACCCTGTCATGAGGTGTAGCCGAGTCGACCACGAAAGACGCACGTAGAGTGTTAAAGTGGCCTTGTGCCAAAGTAGCGATGGCTGAAGGAGCTGCGCCTCTTACCTTTGGAAGGCATGCGGAAGATATAGTTGTAATCAATGGGTATCCAAGTACCGACTTTGCTGTACTATCCGGCCACTTCGTCCGCCTTCTCTTTGCGGTAATGGTGTATGTCACCATCTGCATCGTTATCCCCCGCTAACGGACCATTGGGCGAAGACGAAAGCGCGCTTGTTGTTGTCGAGAGACGAGAGCGGCGGATGACGGCACCCGGGTTTCGAATGATGCGCGTTGCGACAGTGACCATTGCGCCGGCGTTGGAGAACCAGCGTTTAACAGCAAATGGTGAGGTGAGGCAAGAGCGGAATAGTTCCGTCTGGAGACGGAAGCGAACCACAAGGTTTCATGCGCCAAGCACTGCACGCTGTAATTGGTTGCTCGCCCCACGGAGAATATTGGTAAACTTCTCACTCCTTTGAAATTAAATTTGGTGACTACCAGATACGGCTGCCAGGCATACAAATGGACAAGGAATTATCACATGTCAAGCACTCAGTACATTATACCCTTTTGGGTATCTAGTATGCACTAACCACAAGGTCAAACTGTCAAAAAGCTCAAAAATCTCAAGAAAAACTCCCACGGTTTTCTCCCTCCAATTCACGCTTGGAGCCGAGAACATACCCACCCACACAGCGAACAGCATCCTTTGTCCAAAACATCACCCCTGCAACCCCCATGCCCCGTATTACCTTGTGAGCCCACTCCACCATTGCCCTGACACTCCACCTGAGCGGGTCTCCGCCAACGAATCACTACAATCAACACACATAGAACCAACTGACAGACAAGGAGCAAGCTAAGTCCCAACAGCACCAGTTTGTCGCCCCAACTCTCACCCGGGGGAATATCAAGAGGAGTTGTGTCATAGGATAGAAATGCCTCCACGGTGTCAGGGTCAGGAAGGAACTCGACTTCCTGCGCTTGCTCAAAGTCGCTTTCACGGCTACGGGCTTGGTGATATCCCAGGATTGGCGTGCTTCGCTCGGAAGGTCCGTTTTGGGCGATAGCAGGCCTCTGCTTTGTTTGATTGCTGTTGACACCGTCGTTTGTCGTCATTGAAATGGCCTTCGTGACGTTTGTCCCCCCTTCTGGTTTGCTGTCATTGACTGTATTCATCGCTTCGAGAAGCTCTTGCTGCATTGCATTCTGCTGATCGCGCCCACCATCTCCATGATTGAGAGTACCATTCGTTTCTGTGACTGCATGGTTGCTTGAAGGCTTGGCTATGGGAACGTTGTGCGTTGCATCGGTCTGAGCATGCGCATTATCTTTCCCTAATTCTTCCTCATCTATCTTGAAGCTACGTTCATATCGCGGACAGGACAACATAGTTTGGCGGCGATATATATCCCATTGCAGACGGCGAAAGACGTTGTCCGAGGCAGACCAGTGGGCTATTGCTGCGTTAGTGGAGCCGGAGAGGGAAGGGATAGATTTGATGTTACCTGGTGGTGGAGACATTTGGATTCCCTCACTAGTCAGAGTCTATCTAATGACGATGGAAGAATACTTATGATAAGCTTTGACCGGGATCCTCCCATTTGGGTATGGCAAGGGTCTTACTAGTTCCCCTTTTGAGAAGGAGCGGATAAGTTTGCGGGGAATTTAGTCCTGCGACTATTTGTTGAGTCCGAGTTGCACAGCAATGTTTAGACTTGCCCTACCTAATTCACGAGATGAATGCAGTTAATAAAAGTGCATACTATCCTGACCAGTGATTGATTGTTACAATGGTACAATCACAGTTTTATGCTCATTCACAAAAGCATCCCATCCCATCTAAACACTCAAGTTCTTGGCATTCGTGACAGCGGCTCGCCTACGAATCTTACAGATGTAAATATTTGTCGAGTGATTCCAAGTGAATCGGACCGGTGCAGGCCAGGAGATGCAAGAACCTTCACAAACCCGCAGTAAACATTATTGTAGGTCAAGGCGTGTGGATAAATCAACAACACTTCTAGGTCTGTTCAAAGCAAAAAACAGGGGGTCACACTGGAAGGCTTATCTTCGCTCGCTCCTCTCGTGCAAGAGCTTATAGCGCCAGTAAGGATCCCGACCGCTCCAAGAAGGGAACAACGCAGTAGCAGGAAGTCATCATCAGGATTGAGTTAGCAGTGGAGGTCTTTGACGAGGCAGATGAGCGGACCCTTTATTCGATGGACAGCATAAACAAACTGGACAAAAGGATATATTATGTTACGAAATAAAGGTCTGTCAAAAGGATGTGGCACCCACCATGACCAGAACCTTAGATAGAAGTCGAAACTTCTCAGGATTTTTTCCCTCTATAGAGGAAGTTTTCCCTGAGAAGGGTCATTGTCTCGTTCATGCTTAAGGGCATGGTTTGCTGATGTTGTCCTGGCGAATGCGGTTAGACTGAGGTAATGTGGAGAAGGTTTCGAACTTCACCTCACATAGAGATAGACATCTACATTCACCTTTTGGTCAGAGTTGAGTGCACACATTTGTCGTTGAAATACGTTCCGCTTTAGTCCTCGGAGGTATACCCCTCCGACAAGGTCTCACAGCCAGACCACTATGCGATAAAGTCTATTAAACTACACTTCCCCAGTTAACCCATTCAACTCTTGACGATTATATATGCCATGTCCAGCGTCCCCTGATTATTCGCGAAATGCCTCTTGACACGGACGACGTGACTTAGGAGACCAGCTAAAAGATCATGCAGGAGCATGCCTCTCCGAGGAATCGCCCTCCCAGCAATCTCTCCCGTCAAGACCAAGACATAAAAGAGCGTCGAGATGAACCGTTCCAATACCCCAGTCTTGCATGTGTCGCACAAACATCGGACGCCAGCTCGAATTGGCTTTTATACCAATGCTCTAGTCCATTGCTTCCCGTGAAGGGTGTCTCGTGAAGGGTCTTGTTGAAGTGATTAGCACATGCACCTACTCGCCGTCCCTGAAAGATGATTAACTGAAGATGTTTTCAGATTTTTTTCATGAAATTGCAATGCCTGTTGATAGTGACCTTCCAAGAAGGGCTTGATGCCTCGTTTCTTTGAGTTCTTCAGCAGCAGTCAACAAGCTCTCCGCGCTCGGCAGCGGCGCCTGCATGCTTTGTTGGACATCATTCATGATGCTCAAGAGCGCCGGGATGTCCGCAGTGGCATGACTAGCTGACGCATGGCATATTCTCGAAGGGCAACAAAAGTTGGCGCTGCAATTCAGCTGGGAATTGTCGTCCACAAGCAAGCCCAGGGAACGGGTCATGCAGATGGAAGTGGACTGTAAGATACCCTCTTTGAAGAATTAAAACCCTCCAAGCCTGCACAAAACGCTCAAAGTCTGCCGCAAAGATGAAGGACGATCCAGGGCCATGTTGTTCGTTGGACAGATTTTTCCGTATGATGACTGTCATGGCAAGAAATGTGTCAAATTGGGTCGGCCTACTCTCAACGTACGTTGGCACAAACTCATGCGTTAGGTGGTACATCGGTGCCTGGCCGAAAGGTGCCTCAATTTTGACCATTCGGCATGATTCGCGGAGAACTTGGCTGGCTTCGGCGTAGATCTGTTAGAAATGTCCTTTCCTAGCACAACATTCCACGCGGTCACTGCATTGCACTCCCCTTGGGGAGAAAAGAAGCTGTCCATTCTCGCTGCTGGAACATCCTGAAAGGGACTCTTCGACCAAGTGCAAGGCAGCGGGGGACTAGAATAGCTCTCCAGAACTGCGCAGTTTGTGATTCTCGTACGCGAGTCCTAGATTTAGAGTTGCGTTGATGCTTTTGACCTTGACCATTTTCTTAATTCACTTTTCCCATTTCCACTTTGAGGACGTCGAGATCATACGTCAAACTAGCTGCCTGTCTTTGCGTCTGCGCATTTCCTAGACTGGCTGTTCCTTCCTCGCAAACATAACTTTGTTGCGGTAAGCCTGGCGTTTTCGCGTCATAGCACGCTTTTCATATTGCTGTTTGTTACACAAATATCCCAAACATGAATCATGAATTCCTCCGTGGCGCAATTGGCTAGCGCGTTCGGCTGTTATTGCGATAGCAGTTGGCGGTACCGGAAGGTTGGTGGTTCGAGCCCACCCGGGGGAGTAGACAATTTTTTTTTATTCAATCAGGGAGTTTGTTTTCGTGGAGGGTGGAGAGGGAGTGACCAAGTCGGACTTGCACAGGTCACCGAATTGAGGTGATCAGACATCATGTGAAGAGCATAGTGGCCACACCCGATTTTTTCTGGATGAAGTAAGGTTGTCTTTGTATTACATTAAGTGTGGTAGGTGTACGTGTATCAGATGATACATTCGATCACTGTCTTTGCCCATGTACATATGCCACCGGAATCGATTTAACATTATGATCAAAATAGTTGATTTTTTTTTTAGAAGGATATCTTTGTTGTTGAGAAGTATCGGTGCCTTACCTAGGCCTGATAACCAAGACTATACAAAGAAAAATCCTGCATAGCAAATCCTCAAAGGGCATAGTAAATTGGACAGTGAGGCAATGGAGTAATATTGAAATTGCTTGAACAAGGAAGCTACTTGTATATAAGCTCGCTGCTGAACAGCAGATAAGAATAATTTTGTAAAAACTCCATCTTCAAAAATATTGCGCTACGCAACAACTATCTTCCAACAATCTTTAGGCTAATCTGATATAGCAGACGTGTTTTAGAGAAGGATAATTGTTCTAGACAATTGCATATCTTTCAGTGCTCTCAAAGATTCGAACGAAATGAAGAGTAAGTTTTTGAAATTGAGGACTCGGTGATTGCAAGTCCCTTCCAATGGTCCAAGATTTGACTTTGCAGACTTTGCAGATATCCATGTTTTTGAATAAGGAGTTTCCTAGGTGAGCTTGAAGGCGGTCTACACTAAAGATTGAAATTTTGAGAGGCCTCCCACTCTGCAAGTGACATGACTGGCTACTCATTGCATCTTAGTGCCGTAAATCCACGCTGTCACCCTTCACAGGATCTATGATGTCGTGGATAATCACACCGCCGAGACTGGTCCCACGTCTCGGCGCCAAGGTTGACTTCAACCTTCCCCCACCTTTATCTATTGTTCTTCCCATTGCACTCTGCCTCTCAACCCTGCTTCTCCTCTCTACCACCCTACTCTACAGCTCCGCTCCGACAGTCCATCAACTACTGGTTCTAGACTTTAGGTCTTGGATGAGTAACTACTGAACATTGACCACTTGGCTGTGTTCTGCAGGACCTAAAGTGCCAATTGCAGCGATGCTGTGCTTGCTCTGCCAGCCGTGCTATACTTTGGCGCGGTCTGCATCTATTACTGCCCACGCGTCTATCTTGCTCCCCATCGTCTCCCCTTGGCGGGAAGCGCACTGGCAAAGTGTATTTTTTTTTGGCTACTGACGATCAAACATGAATTGATCAAACTCCTCAAAGCTCTGTTCGCATTTATTACGCTACAATGCCATACTCTGTAGCCTTACGAACGCTGGCTGCGCCACATGTTCTTAAGTGCCTTCTTACCAAGCCAGGTTGGATCCTGTCGCCCACATCGCAAGCCTTTTACATACAACATGCACACTCCAAAATCAATGGGCATTCTGCCACCTGCAGAAAAACTATATATACACGCGAGCAACCCCAGCCAACGACTCTTATACCAGCGCAAAGCCAATGATGCAATATCATAATTCTCAAGATTCAAGAATGGATCCGTACATCATGCCGGATTATATCAATCAGGGAGTTTCTCTGGATCTGTTAGCTACCTTTTCCTGAAGACGTGTCTGACCAATACGCAAATCAAAAGTCTATTGGTGCTTAATGGCAAAACTATGCCATTCAGGAGGGCATCAAGACACAATTTTCACGCAAATCTATCAATCATGCGATGGAAAGGGAAACACGAGAACCGCACTTAAAATCTGCCTCCTAAGAGTCAAGGTATGTGGTGTATGCGGCTCTGACCGATATTAATTTGGTCAATGCGTTTATGGCCTTCACCTCTGGATTTCCCCCTCTGCGTTGGCCTATTCCTTCAGTAAAAGGATTCAAGCTCATAGCCCCAAGTAGGTAAGGGCAAAAAGTGGACCAAGGATCAAGAACCTCTAGTCTTAGCCACATTCGTAGAAGCTGTCATGGGCCGACATTGTGGGAGATGCTTGATGCTCCTCTGCCAAGCAAGGCGATCACGAGTCCACGGCATGTCAACGGTTGACGAACGCATGGGAGGACTTGAAGCCACAAAGAGAGCTGACGACAGAGGCCCTCCTGCACTTGCCTGATGCCGTCGACACCAATCAGCTAGTCACATCGGCTGGCAATTATTCAGACGAGATGCACGTCCACGTCAATCTCAAGCAAACGCTGCACATTGTGTACAATGGCAAGGGGATGAACATTTCCACTTTCGAGGCGCACGATTTTGGTTCGCTCTGCATGGACGGCCATCATGTCCGCGTGTCCGACCAGGATGTCGAACAGAGCACTTTTATGCAGCGACACGCCGTGCACCATGACACGCAAAGGTCAAAGGTTACCTGTTCGAACAACGGAATCATTACAAAGACAATCAGAGCGAGTAAGCTAGTAGCTACGGGTGTGGTATTCGCGCATGCATTGACGAATCCCACTTCGGCGCGTTGTGTATCTTCCATTCTCTTTGGCGAGAGTGTGGACGTTATCACGTTTACGTCCCACCACAACATCTCAGTAAAGACCAGGGTTCGTTTGTCATTTCCAACACAAGTCTTTCCTAGTTTGGCGTGCTCGACTTTGCCACTCGCTCTTGGCGCCATTTGCCCTGGCATGTGGAGGCGCAGTTCAGCGGCTTCTCCAACAACGCTTAGTGCATCATCGACCAGTTCGTTGCATTTGTGGAAGCCAAGTGGCTGCGGCAGTTCGGCCTCGTAGTCAATTTCCCGCACGGGTACGAAATCCAGGGGCCCGAGCATGCTTCAGGGGAATCGAACGCTTCATACAGCTGTACAACGATGATCCTCACCAGGTCTGCAACGTACGGGTCGCATTCTGCACGACCCCGGGCAACAACTTCAACATTTTGCTGCAGCAAATGAACCACCAATCCCGCAAGCCACTCAATGCGTTCTTCTCAAATACGCGCGCTTTCAGTGCAGGAGCTCATGAGTATGTAGCAGGCCCTCTGATTCTCTATAGCTTCCATACGAGACAATATCTTGCTCGAACCTGGTCCCGTGCACACCCCCAGTGCTTCCCTTCACAGGATGGGTTAGTGGTATCCGAAAAGACGTGGATGATCAAGCTCGAAAGGACCTTGAGGGGGCGCAGTAAATTGAACCTGCCTGCCAGCCCGCAATGGCGTTGACAGGGCTAAGGAACCGGAGGCGTAATTTCATCTATCAGACAGGTAGACATCCTTAATTCATAGTCTTCGTCCTAATTTGGTCACATATTCAAAGAACACAAACTAATGAGCCTTCGTTCATGCGCACGCACCCTATACCCATCCATGACTCAGTTGCTGTATCTACGCAGGGGAGGTTAGAAGTATGTGTATACTTATAATTAAGTGCTTCGATCCCGCTCGTTCTTCAGGAGAGTCACAGGCAGACGAATGCACATCGTGCCGATGAGTTCTTAATATATCAAGAATCAGAAGAAGGTATGAGAAAGGTAATGGACTTGGCTATCACGGATGGGCAGTGCATCCCGACCAAAAAATTCAAATAGCCGCTGTTCGCGCGATTTAGCATCTCAAGAAGACCAGTCCGAATGTATCTACCGCCGCATAGCGTCCCGCATTTCCGGAGGACATTTACCTCCACTTCGTAAGGCCTTTGAAACAATTCCAGCTTACGCAAAATAGATATCCCATCAAAACCTGCTCAATAGAACACCCCAAAAACCCCAACCACTCCAAAAACCACCACATCAGTTTCCATATAACCACTCCCTCAGCGACCTCGGTCTCGTCACCCGAAGGATAGACAGCAAATGAGCAAGAAGAAACCCGCCAATATACCTCGCCCCATCAGCAGTGGGTCCATCAAGATATTTGACCAGTAGAGACTCCCACGAAGATACAAAAAAGTAGGTAGTCACATGCACTGCGAGAACCACAAAAATAACACGAGAGATCTCCGTCCAGAAATTTACTTGTTGTTGGGGTGGAGGGCCAAGCATAAGGTCTACGTCAACAATTAGTGCAGGAAGGAAAGTTTCTGGGTTGCTTACCGAAGAAATGGGCCCAGGAGGTTGGAATGAGTATTACGAGAGCGATGGAAGCGTTTGGTTGGGGGTTCGCATGCACGGGTGAGGTTTCTCGGGCATCTGCGTCTGCTTCAGGCTCGGTGTTGGGTGTGTAGAGGATGGTGGCACGCGTGTTTGCATTTTCTGTGGATGTAATGACGTCGGGAGGCGAAGTATCGTTTGGCTCCGCGCGAGACTGGGTATCGCCCATGTTGGTGTTGTCACTGATGGGTGGGTTTTCCGCCCTGCCTGTGTTCCCATTGCTCCCATAGTTGTGGTCAGAATCTTGGCCCGAGGGGATGTTGCCATTGGAGGATAGGCTTTCTGAACTGTCTGTCTCCCATTGACTCTCATTATCTTGACCAATGCCAGGAGATTGGGCATTTCCCATGCTTGCTTCGTGACCGACGAATGTTTTTTTAGGGTCGGCTATTTCCCCTTGGCTTCCATTGCTACCTTCGATACCATTGCTCGTGTGAGTGCTGCCATTGAAGAGTGGAACTTCTGGGCTACCCATGTGCGCTTGGCTTTCGATGTCGGGAAACCGGGTACCTTTATTGATAATCAAATTCTCCCCGATGGCCATATGCTCTTGATCGCCATGGTTATGGTTTATATCGGAGAGAAACATGGGCTGTTCTCCTTTGGTGGAGTGTCGCTGCGACATGTTTGATCTTAGTCGTGCCGGCCTGATACAGCACTCATGAACCCGAGCCAGATGGATTGATAAACTACTCAGTTGCGTGTAAGTTTGGAAAGTGGAGAGTATGTGCGGTCTTCACACACCTCAAGTAAACGGAATGTGACTAAGGGAGTCTGGGCGCATTGACACTACTGATACCCTTAGTCATGGCAGCTGCATAACTACGCGGGTTGGTATTGATAT